TTATAGACTTTTCGAACATTTCAAAAATTTTTAAATTTTCAAAAATATTTTTGCTAGAAATTAAAAATTGTTAAACAATTTAACTAGAAATTACTTCAACAGGAGGTCACCCACCCAGGACTTAATCAAGAGCTGCCACTAGAGACGAGACGACCGACCATGGGTCAGGAGCGAGAAGCCTGACCATAAGTCGGGAGCATGCCCACGCCGTGAGCCGGGAGCGCGCCCAAGTTCGCGCACAAACCTCGCTCGATTTTGAGAATATACATGTTGTACAATGGTATTGAACATTAATATAGGGGTGTACAGGCAAAGATCAGGATTTTTAAAAAGTGGCTAAAAAATGATCCCCATGTTATTCTTATGGGGAAAAACGCCGAAAGTGAGGTATCTTTGTCCTATTATATCTACTCCTATCATGTCCAGGAGCCTTGTTGTTCTTCAACGATAGAATAGTCACCTCCAACTCCTCAAGATTGAACAGCGGGACGTCGTCCACACTTCCAAACTCTCGCAATGGGCGCAGTGTGTGATTCGGGAAAAGGAAATTTACTATCCCCTCCATAGAGGCCTCGTCCATAACGGAAGGTGGATAGTGGGTAACAAGTTTCTTGGCTACAAGCTTGTAGCCCAGGCCCAATGGATCGGAATCGCCATCGTCCCTTAACTTTTCCCAGTAACTCGTTTTTGCTCCGGTTGATAGCCCGGCGAATAGACTTCCTAGCCACCTAGTAACCATCTGACTTAAGACGTCTGTATATGGGTTCTCTGGCCCTGATAGCTAGATGTCTGGCTCTCAATGCTGCCGGACGCAATTCCGCAATCTCGGCAGTCCACCAGAACACAGGTTGCTTATCACACCGGGATCTCCTGCAAGGCTTATCGTAACTTATCGCAGGCTGATGAAACAGTTCTTGCTCGGTCGGGCCCTTTGCAGTTTTGGGAGGAATAACCAAAATAATGACACTTAAAACACCTCTTTTTACTTCCACTCCCTTCCCCTCAGCCTGAAGTTAACCCATCCAACCCTCAAATGATGGAGTGCCAACACGTTGGAGTGCGTCTGCCATTTGGGCAACCACCATCCACTGATGACTCCTGTTTGGTTTGGTGAGCCACATCCTTAGATCGGCCGTTTGCCCGGTAAGCTCGGGCACAGCTTTCTTTAGGGCATCAATGACATCACCCTCCGATGACACACAATCAATGTCCCAAACCTCGACTGACGTCTTTGGTTCGAGAGCACGGACGTCGCCCTGGCCTTCCAGAGCTGCCTTTAGTTTGGCAGCAAAGGCAGCTTTATCTTTTGACTTACCCAGCTCAAGGAGTACGTCCCCGTCCCGGGTTTGTCTAATCGACCGTACAACCGTATTGGTTTGCACTGGCTTAGCCTTGGCCTTGATAACACCCAAGACTTCGGCGAATGATCTTTTTTCTGAAAGCTTGACAAAGATTTCCACCGTCGTGGGCTATTTGTGCCGCGACATTTTAGAGGCAGGTGCCGAGCCAGGCACTGCTTGGGCTATGCCGGTTGACTGCGCCCTCACTGCCACATTCTTCTTTCTTCTATTTCTCACACAGTCCTACATAGTGTTTTTACGACTGACCCCTTTCGGGAGCTCCCCTCAAGAGGTGTCGCAGGTTGCTGTGGCTGTCGACGCTCCGCTGGAGCAGCAACTACTTCAGAGAAGGACCTGGAAGGACCTTATTTTTGCTTTGCTGTATGAACAACATCTTCTCTTTTTGGAGGGCTTTCTGGTGAAGAAGGCCTCCTGCGTTTCTTGGAAGGTGGTACATTGTCGTCAGGCAGGCACACCACCTTCACGGCAATCCGTTCCACGGTCGCCTTGCTTACCAGCCGGCAGGTGAAGACAAAACCAAGGTCGTCCTCAAGCTTAGCCATACCATTTTTAACAACTTGGCTAGCTTCTCTCTGTTGTGACCACAAAAAAATTATAATTTAGCTTACCTTATGGTCACAAAAAAAAAATAATAATAAAAAAAAAAATAAAACACAACTCTAGGACTTTTGTGGGCCAAATAATAACCAACATGTGATTGAAGAACAGGAAATTAATTGTCAAAGAATAACCTCATCCTTATATATAATACGTGAAGGCGATTTCTACAAAACACTACCCCTCCGTTAATAATGGACGGATTTTTACAAACGATGTGTCAAAATTAAGTATTTTTTGTGTAGACGCCCCCTTTCACCAATCCGTGTAATAAAAGTCCTTGGACTATGCCCCACAGGCCATCAAAATCCCAATGTATTTCTTATGAAGAAAAGATTTTGTTTACTTAAACAGACGAATTATTTGTGTTAATTACAGCTGTTCATAGTAAGCACATGATAAACACATAAGCTTTCGTATTCAGAGTGAGTTGGTTTCCAGTTTCGATAACTGGAGTGGAGTGATTGATAACATAATATTGAGTTGACTCTTTTAAGTCATCGGACATTGGGAATGTTATTAGTTTTGAACGCCTGTAATACTTTGCAACTGCTCGAATTTGAGCAACAGGTGCACTAGTATTTATCAAACACAAGAAACAAACTTGACCTAATTCGGAGACTCCGAAAAAACCAGAACTTAATCGCCCATTTTAGGGTGTACTTTAAGAATGATTTAAAAGGCTATTTGCAAAATAGCAAAATAATTGAAAAATTACAAATCTATTAATCAGGTTGATGTTAAAACAATTTATCAAAAGAGTGTTAATTTAAGTAAATGAAACTTTAAAATCTGGCCTATTTCATGTTACAAGAGAATAAATTTTAAATTCGAGTCTGAAAAATAAATTTAAATTCAAATGCAAAAGAAATTTGGGGATCCCCTTTTAATCGGTTAGGCTAGCCTATTACATTTTAAGTTAAAATAAAAAAATAATTCTTAGCTGATACAGTCCAAGAGACACCTGAGTTCTGCGCCAGTACAACACCGGAGCATTCGAGCTATGATTGGTTGTTGATAGGCCTAAGCCAAAAGCTCAGGCGAAGACCACGCCATCCCAAAAGACCAGCGGTAGACCCACACCCTGGATAACATTATACCTAAAACTGAATAGTAAATGTATATTCTAATTTCTTAATATTTTTCATGAAATTGAGATTAGACAGAGATAAGAATCCATTTCCAATTTAAATTGCTAAAGAAATCAAAATGTTAGGCCCGTACATTTAAACAGCAAAATTAACAAATTAGGTACAAATGAAATGCTTTTATATTAAGCATCTCTAAACATAATACTTTACTCAGAATCGTTTGCAACAGGTTTCCTCTGACGGAAAAATAAAAAAGAGAAAACTTAAGGCGCGTCTGCGGTTAGGCTAGGTTACAGTTAAGTTATCCGTCCAAATATCAGGCTTTAAATTGACACAAATTTCGTTACAAGAAGCTACTGTACAATGACAAAAGGTTTTACTTTAAACAGGAGTGTACTGATATAAACTACATTATGTTCTGACAAAATGGAAAAAGAGTATCTTAGCCCTAGCCTGTAAAGCTTACAAAATACTAAAATGTTTCTTGACAAAGTCCAAAAGTGACAGATAATGCTTTTTAAAATTATTTCTAACCCATCTAGGTTTAAAACATGGTTATTTAGTTCTTCAAATATGAACAATCTGCTAAAGTACAAAGTGACACATGTGACTAGAGACCTAGTCCTGGCTGATAATCAAATTTAATTAAATAAAGCCTAGTAAATTAAAAATATGAAATATATTTTGTACATTCCTCTATTCGAGGGTGGTAGAATTAATTTACAAAATTGGTAGTGTAGTTCAATTTAGAGATGAGTATTAAAAAAGTAGTAAAATTTAACAGTCTTGAAGCTACAAATGAGTCTTTCTAGAAGAAGGTGGAGACGGGAAAAGAGAGAGCTTCTTCCCGATAAAAACCCAAGCCTGCTCGCGGCGGAGGAATACTAGAGCAGTGTGAATCTCAAACAAAAGACTTAAGTACCAGATATTGATTAGAAAGCTTAATAATGAAATAGAGAAACGTCACAAACAAGAGCAATAAAAAATACATTTAACAAAATACTAATAAATCTAACAGAAATTACTTAAAAGCACGAGAACTACATTTTTAAGAGCAGAAAGCGGAGCGAACAACTCTTGGCGTCCCCCACCGCCAACGAAATGAACAGAATGACGACTAACATGTACTATAACAAATCCTGGTTTGCATACTATAAAAAAGTGCCAGGAAACTGTCACACTGCATCTTTAGGATTTTAAGCATTGCATTTGTGGTCTGCTCCATGTTTCGTAGCCGGTTTTCAATGCTACTTTTCACGTCAAGATATTCCTAACGCAGAAGCACTATTCCCGAAACTTCTGATCGTAACGTTGCTGAAAGGGATTCCTTTGGAATTCCTTGCCAGACTTAGAGGTCGGTGCCATGATTGGCAGGAGAGTTTCTGAAGAACTACCAGTGAGAGCGTCAGTCACCCTTCTAGTCACCTCTTACGACAAGCTCGAGAAGGCTGCGGTCCTATTCTAACCCCCGAAACCACAGGGGGGAGTTAACTTACATCAACTCTACAGAATGTAAAATACTAAGTTAAATGCATCACTTGTATCATTTCAATTATGTCATCAAATTATTGCTTACATGACTTATAATGCTTTTTTAAGTTTTCATGTCCACTATTTATAACGGCTGTTGTAAAGTATTTTTTTTTTATTACATGTTTACAACGTTGCTTACTCTATGTTGTTTAGTTTTTTACTTTCTTAAAACGCTTTTAGATGATTTTTTCTTATAAAATCTGTAAAACAACACTTTCTCTGTGACTAATTTTCATAAAGAGAACTGAATAGGCTACATGTTTTGAAGTGAATAAAAGTTTTTTTAGCAATTATAAAATGAGTACTTATAAACATAAATTTGCACCACTTGCACATAAATTAATTGCAAACAGACATAGATGAACGGCAATTAGAAAGTATCGATCATCGTTATAACACAAACATGTCACATAAATTAGTTCAGCATCCAAATAAAATAATTTTCTCTTGCCAGAAGCTGTTCTCTTGCAACCATCATTCTATCTTCCATCATGTACTTGATCAACTTGATTCTCCTGCTTCTAATGTGTAAGTGTTTGAAAAGTTTTTTTTTGTAATTTATGGTTGCACCAGTAGTTTAAAAACAAGGATTAAGATTGTGTTTTGAGTAATGCTAAATTGCTGTTTATCTGCACACAATACTAAATCACCCATTTTTTTTTATTGAACATCAAAAGAGTATCAAAAATCTCAAAATACTTACTTCCTCAACAACAATTTGACCGGCGTTGCGGAACTATATTTTCCCTCATGTTATATTTTCAACACTATTTATTCATTTAACACAATTGTTAATCATCGTATTCTTCATATACTAACTAAAAGAGAATGACTACTCTATTGATTCGCAAGGGTGGAAATCTAATTAAATGTCCCGGGTGGTTGTTCACTGTTCTTCACTCTTTTTTGGGAAGAGAAAAGCAAATAAAACATCTGTTCATTACAATTCAGTCTATTACGCACCAAAGGTTGTTTTGTAGCTAGTGTACCTGTTGCTCGAAATCGAGCAATTGTCAATTACCTTTATGTTGATTACCTAATTATCAATTACCTTTATGAGTTATTTAAACTAATAACAGTAATAATTTTCGATGAATGTAAAAGTCTAAGCCAAAATCTTCTGTAACTAAAGGAAATACTCACGCTGTTCATAACAGTTCTATACTCAACTTTTCTTGGGAATATTTTATCTAGTTTTTTAGTGTTTCCTACAAATGTTTTCTGATAAAATAAAACACTATCCATATTTCTTCTACTTTGTGGTGTTTTATGGCTTTTTCCAATATCTATACTATTATAAATTGAGGTGGTGTCTGTCTGTATGTCTGACTGGACAGCTCTCACTACTAAAGTACTAAATACGATAAGGCCAAAATTAAGCACAAATAAATAATGTGCACATAATATCTAGTAACGTCATAGTACTATTCACTTCCTTGAGTTCCTCTCGGGCTTCGCCCCGTGGATGTCCAAGTTTTGAGGCGAGATTTTCAAAAGTAAATTTTAATTGGTCTCCGTTGAAGCATCAGAAAATTCACAATGTTTACCTTTACGTTGACATTTCAATGTAAATAAACAGAACTGCTAAATGCCTACTCCACAATTTCAGACAGCTGACCAAAACAAATTAAAAAATTGTTATCTGTACAACTAGTAAACAAAGGGAGCAATTTTAAATACCATAGATTAAAAAAGTAGACATATGGAAGAAGAAGTAAAATATGGGAACCAATCTATATATATAAAATCCAATGTATGTTTGTATGTTTGTATATTTGTATGTTTGTATATTTGTATGTTTGTATATTTGTATGTTTGTCCTTTATGGACTCCAAAACCGCTCGACAGATTGTAATGAAACTTTCAGGCATTATTAAGCATTATTCAAGGATGGTTTGTGTGAAGTTTGGTGCAGATCCGTCAATAGGGCTCTGCCCCAGTGGCTCTGGAGTTTCCCATGTTAACCTTATGAGTACTGGAATTAAAGAATCTTAACAGCTGGTGCAACTAAACAATTTGATTCTGTGATGTTCAATAGCATTAAAAAGTTAATAGGTTTACCAACAGGGTGCAGCACTATATTTATTTTTAATTTATGAGAACAGTTAATTTGCAACTAAAAGGTGAGTGAGCGTAGCGAACGAACTTCAACCTGGAGGCGAGTTAGCGTAGCGAACGAGCTAACCTGAAGGCAAGTGAGCGCAGCGAACTAGCTCCAACCTAAAGGTGAGTGAGCGTAGCGAACGATCATCATTGAATATAAAATTGCAAGTTAATTCTGATTTCCAAAGATTTCGATCAGCTGTCATTTTTTACTGTGTAAAGATAGAGACCTCTAGTTTGCGTTGTTAGTTTACTTTTTGTCGTGACCTACAAAATGAGGGGTCACTCGATGGGGCTTGATGTTTAAAATTTTTGAGTTTCCCCCAAAATCCCCCATTTTGGGTTTTGGAACCAAGTAGCAATTAGGCTCAAAAAGTACTTCATAAAATGCCATAAAGGTGTGTAGAGTTTAGTTTTCCTAGTATGAGCCATTACAAAATTTACGGGGGTTCTCCACACTTGGAAAGTTGTAAGTTGAATTTAACTTCTAGAAACTTCAATGGGCTGCCATTTTTTACTGGATTAAGATAGAGACCTCTAGTTTGCATTGTTGGTTTTCTTTTACCAGGACCTTCAAAATGAGGGGTCACTCAATGGATCTTACAATTTGAAAATTTAGAGTTTCCCCCGAAACCCCCCATTTTGGGGATGTGCACCAAGTGGCAGTTATGCCCAAAAGGTACTTCATAACATTACATAAAGGTGTGCCAAGTTTAGTTTTTCTAGTAAGGGCTGTTAAAAATTTAACAGGGGTCTTCACACTTTTTACTAACCCTGTATATATAAGTAGATAGTATTGCACCAATTCTAGCTCACTTTGATATTAACAGAAAACGCGTATAAAATTTCTGCTTACCCCCGAATGGGTAATGTTATAACAAGATAATAAAATGTTTAAATATTTTATAAATTTGTTTAAAATATGAATCTGTTTATCTAAAATTCTATAAATGCTTACATTTTCATAAAATGTTCTTCCATGCAAAATGTGTTTTAAAAAGTAAAATTCCAATATTTTATAGGATTTTAACTAAAATAATTTCTTTATACCTATTTTTTTTATTTTAGTTAAAGTTAAACTTAAATATTTAAATAAGTCATAAAGTATGTAAAACGTTCTACAATTCCAAACAGTTAGAAACTTTATTAAGTAATTGCATTATTTTCATTGCACAGCTGTTAAACAACACACAGCTGTTTTCAGTGGGTCATGAGATAAGTACATTGGTACATTTCATGATAATTTACATTAGTAAATCCCCTACACTAACATATATTCTACAAATTTGCATATACAAAATAACAACCAGCACAAATTCTTAAAACAATTTCAGTTATAAAACATACGCCAATTTATGAAGTTTTGATTAAGTATTTTATAGGTTATAATTGTGAAGACTTTATTACTTACTTAATGAAAATTTATTTTGACTAAAACACAGTAACTAAAGTCTTCAGATAGTTCATAAGTACTGTATATGTACTATCATCAAATAAACACTTAAAAAGTCAAAAGAACTTAAGTAACACAAATACGTGTCAAACTTGCACAGTTATCAAATAAGTATCGTTGTGCGCAAGCCCATAGCCTCATGTAGTGAGGCCTTCAGTGACTTTTAATAGGTTCCAAGGTTGTCAATGTTGGTAACTAATTGAGTAAATAAAACAAACTGTTGAAATGTGTTATATTATTATCCACCATACAAAAGCTTTGATACCAGTTGTTACTTGTCACTGTTGGTAATTAGTTGAGTGTATGATACAAACTATTAACATGTTACGTTTGACAAAGCTATGATAGTATGCCTAGTTGTTATTTTTATTATGATGTTACAACTTCTATGGAAAACTTGGTATTCAAATGTTCATATCGACTACAATTAATAGATTGCATATTTAATTAATTGTATCGATTATATATTGAATAAGATCAATCGATTTAAGTATCGAATGATATTAATTGAAATACGTTATGTGTTATAACTTATGCACTTCCTAACCAATTTTTAACAAATTTGATTTATACCCTTGTTGAATATTAAAGAATGTTTTGACTTATGGCAAGAATGGTTTTATCCCCTACTTTATATATATATATATATATATATATATATATAAACTGATAACATTATCTGAAACTTAAAATCCATGCATAATTAAGTTAAATATTTAATGTTTTGATTTATGTTAAGGGTAGTTTCATTCCCTATTATTTTATTTTATTTCACTTATATATCATTTTTAATCACATTATACTCTAATAACTTTTCAGATACAATCACAATAACAATTGGTTTTACTTACAGCAGTTATATTATAATCAAAATCCATATTTATTATAATTTCATTGTTTAAACCAGAAATATTAACAGCATATTTTGTATCAATCACATATAATGGTATATTTTAAATACATTCTTTGGGATTATAGTATGTTTTATTGCTGTTATGATATACCTTTATATAATCTTGATACATTTGATATATTATTCTATATTTAGTTATTGTTTATATCGAATTTCATTAATTCATCAGGTTAGTAATGACCATTTAATCTAATACTTTTGACCACCTTACTATCAAGTTTTAGAGTGTCATATAATTGATAATTCGATCAACCTTTTTCAAAACCAATTAATAAAAGTTTTGGATTATAAATATTTCTATAAATATATGTTATATCAAAACTATATGTTTTTCCTGTGATTGTCTTGTGTTCAATGCATTGCCAATGATTAAAATGGAATGATAATTTTTCTTTCTTAGTTATTTCATTAGTTAATTATATTTTACTAGTAGTTTTATACTCAATAATTGGAACTCTCATAAAAAAACTCATTAATTGTTATCTTACTCTCAGGTGTTAATGTAGGGTAATATCATCAAAAGTTCCATCAGCTTTATTATTTTTCATTTATTACGTCCATATGAAGGCAACTCCCCATTTCACGGTACTAAGACAGAAATATATCTATGAATTTGTCCCTGAATTTTAAAACCCTAAGGCCCATTCCATTGTGGCAACATGCGTTGAAATGTCCATTTGTGGCCTCCTCTGCGAAGTGAAATGCACCACAATGCATGCAAGGGCTGTTAAAAGGACCTAGATTGTAAGAAACAACACTCAACTCATTTTCCAGCGTTCTTATGAAGGCAGTTTGTAAACCAGCTTGTGGATTTCTTTCATAGTTAGGCCTTACATGACGTTCTCTTTCAGTATTTCTTGTGTCAGTTGAATTCCTGGATACTCTTCCACATCTTGCAGGTCTTCTCTACCCTGTTTAGTTACTTCACTCATTATAAAAAAACGGAAAACGAAAAAAACTTCTGGATACTTTTCCACGTCTTGCAGGTCTTCCCATACCCTGTCTAGTTACTTCACTCATTATAAAAACGGAAAAAATAAACAAATAAATTTCATTTTGAAACATTATTTTAACAACATTAACTTTTTTCAGTTTTTCAGCAGACGTTTTTCAGTACCCATGCTTTTCTTATGGTGGTTATTTTACGTTATATCTCGTTTTCTGGTAACTTTATGGGAATTCTGCTAGTTTTCCTGAGTCCCTGGGGTCAAGACATTTAATTGAAGACCTTTATCACTTTTCTGCGACTTACCAGACGTCCACAATTTTCTGGTAAAAATTTTGTCTTACAGAATTATATATAAGGATTCGATGTTTTTATTTAGATCATTTAAACTTAATGGATAAAAATGTAATATTCAGATCTATCAATTTCATAAAGGTTTCCCATTTATTAAAGAAAAATTATAGATACTAGTCTACATGTTGCTCGAAGTCGAGCAATTGCAAAGTATTACAGGAGTTATTTAAAAATGAATAACAGTCATGTTTACAATGAGCTTAAAACCATGTTTATCTTCGTTATTAATAAACCTTTAGCATTTCGGCCGGAGTCATTTGGGGTAGTGTTAGGGCACATTTGTAACCTAATAGTTGAGATTTTCCAGGGTCAGGTGCTGACTGTGATGAGGTAAGCCTACTACGCGCCACTGTTCTGTAGCTGCGGTCGTTATCACGATTACGCCTCCTGTCTATGTTTCGTTGTCGTCGCATCGGAGACATTTAAAAGAAAAAAGAAAACAACAAATAAACAGATTATAGCTACACAAAACAACGATAAATGCACAAATTTAAGTTACAACCATACCAACACGAGCTATCTTGGGGGTTATGTTTACACAAACTCAATGAAATGAGAAACTAAATAAATGTACTCAATGCGTTTCGTTGAATTTAAAAATAAATAACAGCAATTAAACTATACAGCTGATCAAATTGTAAACAATTATTTTCTTCATAAGAATAACATGGGAACTTTAAAAGCCACTGGGGCAGAGCCCAAGGGACTTTTTCAAAAATGTAAGGCCAGTTTGCAAATCAACGCGACACACTCTTTCCAATGAGACGTCAATGGATAAAATCGGTTAAGAAATGGCGGAGGAGTTCAACCGACAAAGTTTCATGTACCGTATAGATCATATGTTTTTTTCCAACCAGTAAAAATGTATACAATCAATTTAAACATCCTAATCACAATCAATATCTTCTTCAAATAGTTCAATATTTAATGCTTGATCCATGACGAAATTAGCCAATATATTTTGATGTTTCAACATTAATTCCCAACCCAATCTTGATATTTACAAATTAAAGTAATATAGGCCTAGTAGAGGAAAGGACGCTATTTACCTACCCCGCCGCTAGGGCGATGGCGAAGAAGGGCCAGAAAAGCAGACCTCATTATCCAGCTGTCCACCCGCTACCGAACCGTCAATACTATTGCTGTTTGGAGATTAATCCAACAGTCCTAACTTACTAAATTCTGGTCAGTTAAAGATTGCCCCCGTTCCTGGTAGAATCCTAAGGTATCAGGTTAGTGTGCTGCCAAATTTATTTTGTTTAATCTTATTTTTAGAGTAGTTTTATTACTTTTATTTTATTGTGCCGCAGTCGCGCGCACCCCGCACGCTTTTACACGAACGAGCACACAGCCTTTTGACTCTTACCAGCTTCGGGAATAATTTAAGTCGCCAGAACGGCTTACGTACAACTTATTCATTAACCCCGAACCATCTTACGTAAATTTGATTTAAGAAACCCCGTATCGACTCTGGTGATCGACCGAGTCTAGTTTTCCCGACACGTTTACTTTGGTGATAACTAAGTATAACGAACGAATCACTTTTAGTTAAGTTTCAAATTAATAAGGTTTACTCGCTTCACGTTATATTATTCAAAATTCTAAATTCAACCACACATATTTTCGAGTGGCTATGATGATCACTTGTTAAAGTAAAGCTAAACCTTGTTAACATTTTTGTAATTAATATTCTGAGCCAATAAACCCGAAACGATAATTAAATAACGAACACGTTAGAGCCCTGGACTATCTCATTGTAGGCCTACTATCTGGACAAATTTAAGGCATGACCTAATTTCAGGTGAGACGACTATTAGGTGTTCCAAAATTTAATTTTGTCCCTCTACCCGAAATTCCGTCATAATTTACTCTAACTCGATAAAATTGGAAATTTTCGATTTGAAATTCTTCGCAGTCGAGATTGTTTAGTTTGACTGTGCTTAATTTTCTGACCTGGTCCTCGATCACCACGCTTTAGGATCAGCTCGGCTCGAAAATCATAACTATTAGACATACCTAGTTCAGTTATGTTATGGACAATATTAGGTTATGGCAAAGTTTAGAATTTCTTAAGCTTATATACTTCCCAATTAGCTATTGTTAGATGCGGATGTTATAGTTGTCTTTTGGATTTTAAAACTGAATTATATAACGGTTATGTTTCAGGTACACTCTGTGGGGCTTTCTTCAGGTGTGGTTCACTTAACTACAAGGCTGTGGGTTTCACTAAAGGTGATGGCGAATCAGGCCGCCCTTGCATTAAATGCGAACTCATAAATTGGTTCTCTGATCAAGTATGCATTTACTATAAATGTGAAGGAAACCTCACATGTAAAGAAAGCGAAGATGGTAAACATAGGTTGTGTAGTTAACTCCGACCGCCCGACCAGTACACCAATACCCTGTCACCAATACAATAAACAAGATTCCAGAAAATTGATCATTGAAAACATGTAGGCTACACTTGAGTCGTGTTAGATTTTTAATAAAAACTAGTGTCATGCTGGATTTTGGTGGTTATTTATTTACTAGCTGTTACCGGTGGGCTTTGTCCCGTTTAGCTTTATAAGTATTAAAACAACTATTAATTGCCCTACTGGTTTGGGTGGACTTTCAAAAGGCATTTCATGGTTACTTTCAAAAACTACATTGGACTTAAGAAGCTGTCAGGGCACAGCCCAAGTAGAGCATTGCAATAGAAGATCACTATGTTCTTTAAACCAGTAGTTATTTTGGCTCTACTCGTGGAAAAAAATCAGCCTAATCGTTCAAGTAGTTTTCACGTTATTGACATACCCAAAAAAATCATAATTAAAATATTAGCTCCTTCCACCCGAGTCATTGGCTTGATCATTAATTAACTAAAATTATTAACACGATAGTCTGTTTTCCAGAAATTTGTTTGGGGGAAAACAAACACTATACTTTTTGATAAGATTTTGGAAAAGGATAAAGCCAATAAGTTAATGAATCATGCATAAAAAAATTTCCTTATTTGCACAATACCACAAATTATTTATGAAATTAAAAACATAATTATAACTTTAAACAATACTAATGTGACAGTTCTCATTGTGTATCACAGTTTGTTGCTGCTTAGTTCATTTCAATTATTATCAATTATCAATCATTAAGATGGGGACGCCACTTAGGTGCGTATTTTAACCCAAATATGAGTGAAGGATGAGTGTAGAATGGTGTGAGATGATCTGTGTAGCTTTGTTACTGACTAAGATCAGCTGTTTCATTAGCCAGGATCATTTATTGCCCAATGATCAGGAACAGCTGGGTCCAGTTTCGAACCATCAAAAAGCTACTGACTTTTCTCAGGATCGAACAATTTGAATATTGCAGAGACCCAATAACCAACGTTTTTTTTTCGCAGGGTTGTGATTTCTGCACCAAACGACGAATTTCAATTTGTACATTATCAATGTACTATAAAAAGTCAAATTCCAAACAAATGTTGGTTACGGGGTTTCTAGAATAAACAAGTCAAATTAGCTGTTGCCAAACAGGCCATTAAAACAAATAATAGTGCTGCACCCTGTTGGTAAACATTGTAACATTATACTGTAATGTTATTTTGAACATCATAGAACCAATTTTTTTACGGAAACAGCTGTTAATATTCATCAATTCCTTTTAAGTATGAATACTCATAAGGTCAACATGGGAAAGTCTAGAGCCACTGGGGTGGAGCCCATAAGTCCAATCAGAATACATACTACTTAGTTTTCCTTTTTGATGCCTAAAGAATCAGTGCACCAAATTTCAGCCACTTATAACTCGACAAAGCGCAGTGGCGGCTGAGGGGTCGTGCCAGATGCGACCCGTGCCAGATGCAACCCAAGAACTATGACAGGCATCTCAGTAATGAAAGTTAGTTTTTTAGGTAAATTTCTATTCTAAATATTAACTTAACTTAATTTAACTCTAAAGCAATTGTCTGTAAAATTAAATGCACAATAAAACACTGCCACCTCAACAAAACTGACTTTACGAATTCCCATTTGTTTGGTTGGACTTATGCTAAAATATTTCCTTAAAAATGTCAGATGTATTCCAGGTATGAACCAGATTAGGTTTGACTTAGGGTTGCTGCTACAGGGGAGGAGATTTGAAGAAGTTTTTGGACGGTTAGAATAAGCATACAAGGCAAGAAAACTATAATAAAACAAATCACGAAAAGGCTACTCTACTGGAAATATTTTAATCAATGACGAAGCTATATATACAGCTAATGTTTTTACATAAGAAAATAAAAATAAACTGTAAAAATATGTTTAACCTATCCTAAAAACTTGGTGTACAGTGTTTGAAATACTAATTTATGTGATTTATAGTATTTGTAGGAAAAATACAAGGTGTAACACGAGTGCAAAGTGTCTTTGCTGCACTCGAGAAATTTCCACATTTGCCTACGTCGTAAAAATTTCTCTCAAATTCAAAGCAAAGGTTAATTTGATTCACATAAATGGAGTGCATATTTGCAGTATCAAAAGTCAATGGTACGCCTGGGTCACGTCAATGGAATGTCTACTTGCAGTATCCAAAACTCAGTAGTATATATAGTTCACATTAATGGAATTTCTAACTTAAGTGCATATTCAAAGTCTGCATTATTGAACACTACATTTAGTTCACACAAATGGAAAGTCTACTAGCAGTATCCAAACTCAATTGTAAGTATATATTTGCTTCTCATAATTGGAATGGCTATTTGGATTATTTAAAGTTAATGTAGTATCAGAATTATTCCGGCGCCCATAATTATTGGTTATTCATTTTGTAGTAAATTATGCTCAATGGTATTATTCCGATTAATCTTCCCCTTTTCTCTGTACTGTATTTGTAATGGGCTATTTAGATGATTCGTTGACTAACATATGTTGTGACTCTTGTTTACCTTTTTATTGTTATCTCGCAAATAATAACATGGCAACCAATTAATCCAAAAGGCCCGTGTTAAATTTCCAATAGTTTAAACTCACGTAGGGAAAAGCCCTGTTGTCCGATTTGTACCATTTCAGATGTATAACTTCCCATGGTTGGTTATTATGAATGTGCTAAATTTGGTGCAGATCGCTTCAGCCGGTCAGGAGGAGTATTTGTAAAACAAAAGCAGGAGTGTAGTGCTAGAGATTCGCTCGATTCGCTTCGTTCCACTCAATTATAGGTGATAGGCTATTACCATAGGTCTCATCTGATGATGGTACCCAGAGTCCAAAAGCACGTTCCGGTGTTATATTATTCTTATGTATTATATGTAATTATTCTTATGGAGAATATGTAAACTGTTCTACTTTGCTTGTTTGTGAACATATTTTGACAAGTTTTGAACAATTATTTGCATATGGAATAAATATGTTATGGAGATACTTTTGTGAACATTGGTTAAGGCAAATGGCAGGTTTGCTGAGGTGGGGGTATTTACACTATAGCGTCGTAAATCTTTCATAATAAGGAATCTCTAGAATAATACATACTGCACGTTATAACACTAGGACTATTATACATTCTTCAGTCGTTTTATAGTATCCTATTAGTAGCTATGTTGATTATTTTTCCTTTATTGGTTGTATCAATTTTAATGATAAAGATATTGTTAGCTCTTAATATTTTTCAATTTAAATCTTACCGTGAGTTTAATAATACCAAAGCCTATTAATTCCCATTATCTTTAATGGGTTCGTATCCAGTGGAGAATGACACATTTTTATTTTTTATGATCAGTGAAATGATTACTAATACATACTTGCGAATGAGATAATGCTTTATTACTAATAGAGATATTAAAATAAATATGATTAAGGATTGTTAATACTACTTTAATAATGTAAACGCTTGTCATTTTATATATATACTAGCTGACCCGGCGAACTTCGTATCGCCTAAGTTATAGGTTTCCCCTAAGACAGACCGATGAAAAGAAAGTACCGTTACGTTTAATTTTCAAGATGATCTCGTTTGCATCGCTCAATCACGTCCTGGTTGAAGTTCGTTCACTACGCTCACTCACCTTTGGGTTGGAGCTCGTTCGCTACGCTCACTCACCTTTAGGTTGGAGCTCGTTCGCTGCGCTCACTTGCCTTCAGGTTAGCTCGTTCGCTACGCTAACTCACCTCCAGGTTGAAGTTCGATCGCTACGCTCACTCACGTTTTGGTTGCAAATTAGCTTTTGTCATAAATGTAAAAGAAATAATAGTGCTGCACCCTGTTGGTAATCCTTGTAACTTTAATGCTATTGAACATCATAGAACAGAACCAACTTGTTTAATTGAAACAGCTGTTAAGATTCATTAATTCCATTTCTCATAAGGTTAACATGGGAAACTCCAGAGCCACTGGGGCGGAGCCCTTTTAAGAATTTCGAAACGGGAAATAGTTTACGTCCAATTCGCATACCTACAGAATTTCCACACCAAATTTCATAACGATCGGTGAAGTCGTTCCGGAGGAGTTTGCAGACAAACACTGTGACACGAGAATTTTATATATATATATATATATATATATATATATATTTTATTATATCTGAATTGATAAAATAAACACTCGAAGTAATTCTGCCACTTTCAACTTACCAACTGTGTCATGTGGGAAATTATACCATTAACAGAGGTAGTCAAATGTATCAAATAATTAGTACTAACCCACACAATGGACATCCTATGCGTTAGTACGTTAGGGCACGCCTGTCATAATGTCTGTGATTGTTAGCCTGTTGATGGTAATCATATCCAAAACTATTAGTATATAAAATAGTTTCTGTCCAGATGTATATAAAAGGTTTAGTTTTATGGCTATTGCGCTAGGCAGTTATCATTAACGGAGTATAGGACAGCGGAAGTTAATTCCAAATACAATACAAGGAATTTATTAAAAACTAATAACTTCCTTGGAGTGCAGGACAGATATTTTTCCAATAAAAGGGAAGATTTAGGTTTTAGAAGGATCGAAGAAAAAAACAGAGTTGGGTGATTTTATAAATACTTGGGTATAACGCTTAGAGAAAATACTTTCCTTGAGAAAACATCCGTTTTTATTTAGCATATGAATCTTTTTATGTATAGTCTTACGAACTCCATACCTACCATCCTAGCCATCCTGATGTTTTAAAATATTACGTAACCACTACCAGACTCTTTTCAATCAACCAAAGGGTTTACCGTCTATAGTCACTTCATTATGTGCAACACAAGTCAGAAATCACATTCAAAATATTCCGTCTAGAAATATTGTCCTTACACCACAAACAACGCAAAACCTTTAAATATACCCTTCCTTCTGTAGGCTCTCAAAGACAAAAAAACTATAAACATATGGAAATTTCAATACATTAAAATTATTTACTTCACGATCTTAAGAACAACATAATATGTTCGCTGACCCCAGTCACAGGAATGTAAAAAAAGTTAAACCCAATCTAGGACGTTCCCACGGGCAGAGACCTGGCTGATAACAAGCCAGGCAGATATTGAATTTCTATCGCAAGTGCATAGTCG